ACTAGCTGAAGGGCACGGCGTTGCCCGTGGAAAAAAAGTTTAAAACATTTCAAATTAAAATTTTTGATTATAGAGTTAACAATGATAATAATAATAATAATAATAAAAATAATAATAATTAAAAATAATTTTAATAATAATAATGATAAATACATTAATAATAATAATTATAACAATTATATTAATATTAATTATAAAGATAATAATAATGATAATAATGATAACAATAATTACAATTTCAGGATGGGAACCATTATTGTTTATGAGATCGGGAGAGAACTCTTTAGGAATGAACATTTTAAATGAAACATTATTATGACGTTTTTAACAAATATTTTTCAGTCTCTTTGGCTTTCTTATTAAGTTCCTCATTAAGGTTTTAAAGATTTTGAACTAGAGTGAAATTATTTCCTGTAGAACGTATTTAACTGTAGAGAAAAAAAAGAATATTTGATTAAGATGTGTATTTTCTGTAGAATAACAGGCCACAAGGAAGCTGTAAACTCATTGAAATATTCAGCCTCAGGTAAAAAATTCAAGATAAATAAATTTGAAAAAGTTGTCAAATTTTTTTGTTTTGTTTCAAAACTTAAATAAGCAAAAATAAAAAAAAAATAAAAAGATTACTTTACATTCAATGCCATTTCATGTACCGGGCCGAATTTCTGTCCAGAGCCAGCTGTACAGTAAAAATACAGACTGTACAAGGCAAAACGGACTAGTACGCCAAATGAATCAACCCCTTTTAGTGAAATTTATGTGTTTTACTTTAAGGACAACTCCTTGCATCAGCTAGTGACGATTGCAGTGTGAAATTGTGGGATGCCAGTTCAGGTTGGACAAAAATTTTTAAAAATTAAACAAAAATTATTGAAAACTACATAAAAATGTACAAATTTCTCTTTGTCAAGTCTAATCGATGAAAAATTTGGCACTATTTGAATGAAGTGTCAATGAAAGATTTTGAAAATAAATCTTGAAAATTTTATTTGGTTTTCTAACAATGTTGACGGTAATTTAAGCTGTAGACTGGTATTATTATGATATCACTTTTCAGTGCAAAGTGCGTATTTAAAAAAGGTGAACAGTCTCTTAACAAATCAACTACGATATTTCAGGTGGATTCCTGGGATCAATAAATTATCTGAACCCGCACACTACACGAGTCCTAGGCTTGAGCTGGATGGGGTCACTACAGCGGCTGGTCACCTTGTCTATAGACGAACTAGGCATCTGGGAGAAGCCAGGCCAAGGTTAGTCAAGGTTTTATAATAAGGTTGGATACTCTCGATACGCTACAATCAACGGAAAATATCATCATCAGATAGAAGGATAAAAACCTTATATGAGGTCCCTGATTATTGAGGTGCAAGTGGCGACATATGATATTTTTATCAATCTGTCTTAGGAGACGACATTTTTTCGTACATTACAGCGCATCTAGAGTAACCAACTTTATTATACAACCTTGATGTTAGTATAGTCAGATTTATTTGTTCTTTAGATTCAAAACACAAACTTATTAACAAAATGTTTGTTTGAAGTACGTATATGAGACGTCGTTAGAACAATTTCACAATAACGTTTTCACAATGTCTCTCAAAGGGACTGCAAGCGTAATCTTAAGTGACTCTCCATGTAAAGATGACAATGCCCGATTCACAAAGGTTCCCTTGAAATCTTTACCTGATCAGTATTGTGGAAGATATTGTCGTTTTTTTTCTGGGTTTACAGTTTTTAACTCTGATTAGTTCTGCAGTAGAAATGTCTCTTTTGAAAATAAACCTCTTTTTAACTATAAAATTAATGTATAATTCAAAGTTGCAATACGAGAACACTTGCACAGTTGCGCCTAATTCCGCACAGTTGCGCCCGATTCCGCACAGTTGCGTGCAATCCCGCACTGTTAGGCGCAATTTTCCTTACAAAACGGAATTCCGATTGGAAACCCTAATTGACATGAATATATCTGCAGGTATAAAAGTAACAAAACTGACACGTAACCGTCCCCCCAGCTGGAACTGTGTATCGGCTACTGAGTCGTATATAGCTGCTGGAACAGTAGAGGACAAGATGGTTATCCTCTGGTCAGCACAAACCTGCGAGGTCGTTGCTGCTCTTCCTGGGCACACCAGTTACATCATTAATATGGACTTCTCAGAGGTAGTTGGTTAATTTCTGTTTAGTTTTTTGCTAGGTTATACACAAGGCCTGGGGGGTACGGGGGGGGGGGGGGTCCGCCCCCCCCCATGTTGTGTATATGATCGAATAGTGTACATAGTTAAAAAATGTATCAATATTTTTTCATAAAGGGGATTTTTAAGGGGGGCACAATGTTGCCAAGGGGGGGGGGGACAAAAAAGTGCCTCCCTAGTCCTACACAAATGCTCTTGTACGCACCTGCACAAGACCTGTCGGTACCTGTAAATGCTTGTACTGTATCGGATCATGTAACAATAGGACTTTACGTGGCCCTGTTGGGGTCACTTGTAATTTTCTGAAGTTTTTTTGTTTTTATTTCTAAAATTGCATCTCCTAGGATGGGAACTACTTGAGCAGTATTAGTTCCGAGACTATGATAGTCTGGGCAGTTTGCAGTATGGAGGAACAGGATCAACTTCTCTCTCTAGGTCCTTCTCATCATACACGCTGGTTCAAGGTAATCCTTCTCATCATTCATGCTGGTTCAAGGTAATTCTTCTCATCATACACGCTGGTTCAAGATTAGTAATCCTTCTCATCATTCACGCAGGTTCAAGGAAATTCTTCTTATCATATACGCTGGTTAGTAATTCTTCTCATCATACACGCTGGTTCAAGGTTAGTAATCCTACTCATCATACACGCTAGTTCAAGGTTAGTAATCCTTCTTATCATGAACGCTGGTTTTAGGTAATTCTTCTCATCATACACGCTGGTTCAAGGTTAGTAATCCTTATCATTATACTCGCTGGTTCAAGGTTAGTAATCCTTCTCATCATACAAGCTTGTTTAAGGTAATTCTTCTTATCATACACGCTGGTTCAAGGTTAGTAATCCTTATCATTATATACGCCAGTTCAAGGTTAGTAATCCTTTTCATCATACACGCTGGTTAGTAATCCTTCTCATCATACACTTTGGTTCAAGGTTAGTAATCCTTCTCATCATACATGCTGGTTCAAGGTTAGTGGTTAGTAATCCTTCTCATCATACACGCTGGTTCAAGTTTAATAATCCTTCTCATCATACACGCTGGTTCAAGGTTAGTGGTTAGTAATCCTTCTCATCATACATGCTGGTTCAAGGTTAATAATCCTTCTCATCATACACGCTAGTTCAAGGTTAGTAATCCTTCTCATTATACACGCTAGTTCAAGGTTAATAATCCTTCTCATCATACGCGCTAGTTCAAGGTTAGTAGTAGCTCTAGTAGCCCTTAGCTTTTCACCTTTCTAAAAATGCACCTAAAAACCCAAATTTTTGGATTAAGGAATAGAACCAACTCAAAGTTAAAGGAAACGGTAGACATAATGTCCGATTTACAAAGATATCCTTTAACCCTCTATCTAAGTAGCAATGAGAAAGATTTCAGCGGTTTTCCATCTAAAAAGTGTTAAAGAACATTGTTAATTTACTTCATTGTCTCTGCAGCATAATTCTGCAAGTCATGTTTAAAGAGCAAGAAAAACTCCGCAGGCCTCTATCAAACAATGGTTTAAAGGGGGCCTTTGTGAAACTTCAAATAACGTTTACTGTTCCTTTATTAGGGTGAAGTTATGACAGCTGCGCCGGATGACCGGAATAGAATGACCTTGTTGAAGAATGGGATTACACAGTTCACATCTCCCCCTGAACCTCATCCTATCAGTGCACTCCAACTCAATATAGGTAGTATTCAACTCATGTCAGCTGCAGGGGTAGTATTCAACTCATGTCAGCTGCAGGGGTGTCTATTCATATTTGTTTCCCCTAAAAATTTATTTATTTCCCCTAAAAATCATTTCTTTTTCTCAAATCAGGGAATAAAATCCTAAAAAACAGACATAAGTTCTGGAGGGGAAAATTGTTTTCAAAAGAGGGGGGGGGCAATGATTTTTCAGGAAAATATACACCCCTGTTTCAGCAAAAAATATCTTAATTAAAATCCCTGTATATAAATATTATCTACCCAAGATGAAAAAGCTTTTTTAAGATTTATTTACATCTACTTTATAGAAACCCGAACGTTGAACTTTATAATGGTTTTTTGAGTTTTGGGTTTAGGCATTGATTTAAATCTGTTTAGGATTTAATGTAATACTGTTTGGGATTTAATTTGCCTGTGTTTAGGCTTTGATTTAGCTGGGTTTAAACTGTGATTTAGCCGCGTTAAGGATTAAACTTGTCTGTGTTTCGTTTGTGATTTACCTGTGTTTAGGCTGTGATTTAGCGGTGTTTAGGCTGTGATTTAGCTGTGCTTAGGTTGTGATTTAGCAATGTTCTGACTGTGCTTTACTTACCTGTGTTTAGGCTGTAATTTACATGTGTTTAGGCTGTAATTTAGCATCTTAAGGATTTAATTTTTTCTTGTTTAGGCTGTGATTTAGCTGTGTTTGGCACCTCTGATGGGTGTGTGAAAGTGTTTAACACGGTATCTAATACTGTGACTCTGCTTGGGAAGCATTCTTCAACTGTTCTCTCTCTAGCTGTAACATCAAACTCAGTTGTAGTGTCAGGTTCAGATTCTATTTTAAACTTGTCGTAATTCAACCCAAATGAAACAAGCTAAGATAAAACAAACAAAATTAAATCAAACCAACTCCCACCAACTCCAACCAAAACCAACTACATAAAACCAACTCCAACCAAACCCAACTACATCAAACCAACTCCAACCAAACCCAACTACATCAAACCAACTCCAACCAAACCCAACTACATCAAACCAACTCAAACCAAACTCAACTACATCAAACCAACTCAAACCAAACTCAACTACATCAAACCAACTCCAACCAACTATATCAAACGAATCCAAACCGAACTAAATCAATCCATACCAAATAATGCTTAAAAACAAGCCTAAACTACATCAAACAAAACCAAGCAACCCCAAACAAAATTCATAAATCGATTAGATTAATGAAGACTGATCAAACCCAAATAGATTCTAGTACAATAGATGGCAACCTAGAATTTGTACACTCAGTACAGCTGTATTCTTACGTCACAATTGTCAACACTTATATGTGTCCGAAAAAGTTATTAATAATAGTGAAAATTTTTTGAATAAAGTGCTTATCTTACAGTACAAATAGGTGAAATTTTATGTGATCTTTATTTTATGTTTTAACAATTTTTTATTTAGTCTTGGAAAAGATGTCAACTAATTTGAGAAAATTTGGTTTTCCTTGTTATATTTGACACTTGTGACGTCTTGTATAATTGGTCCATTTCTCTGTTGCCACTTATTGTACTTGATAATCTATTTGATCAAACCATTTCTAATAACTCAGATTAAACCAAACAAAACCAAATCAAACCAAACAGAACCAAACTTAACTACGTAAAATCAAACTAAACCAAAACAATTATTTCAAAAAATGAACTGTATTTTTGAAACAAATTCAAACTCTTAATCCCCATTTTATTCCAAAGTGATGTACACCATGTACACCATGTACACCATGTACACCATGTACACCATGTACACCATGTAAACCATGTACACCATGTACACCATGTACACCATGTACAACATGAAAACCTTTGACATTTCAAACTTTTTTATCAAACATAATTCATAGTTTAAAATACCAAAGGTCTACGACATCTGGTTGGAAAAAAATCAGAGTTTGTGGTAAACACTCCGTTCTTTTTACCGAGAATGATAAATGATTAAATAATTGAGCTGTTTAGGAGGATTAGATCAAACCGTGAGAATATTTCATCAAGATAGACCGGAAATACTCTGCAAAGGGCACAATAGCTTTGTCAGGTAAACTGTAGGGTCAATTGTAAAAGCATATTAAAACAACTCAGTATAGTTTAAATATTGTTGAATTCAAAGAGAAGAAAACGAACACATTTACAACTGTTCCCTTGAAACTGATCAATGATATCAGACTCATCTAGAGAAACACTTGAAAATTGTTGAACATTTGGTTTTAAATTTTTCCCTGAAGATGCAGAATTTTTAAAATGTGATTAAAAATTTGGAATACTGCTTTGGACAAATGAAACTCGGTATTCTTGAGAAGGACGTGTTACGTCAGCAGAGTTGAGTTCACACTGTACGCGAGTGCACACTACAGCTTTACACCAATTTGAACACCATTTGAGAGATAAACACAAAGAGTTTTCTAACCTCTAAGGTTTAAATGGTAACGTTTATAAATCTTCAGTTTCATCTTTTTTATTGAAATTAAGCTTACCCTCCTCCTGACCTTAAAACAGCTTGATCAATTATGTGCAAGATCAGACATTTCCAGTTGTGAAATAAGAAAACTAAAACTAAAAAACTGAAGAGTAAGCCNTACATGGTTGGAAAAGTAGTTCTTTCTTGTAAATTGGCTTATTACAAGAACATCCAAAAAAAAATTCTTTTTATTTTCAAAATTAGCCTAAGTATGATTGTAGGATGAACGATCAAGAAAAAATGAAGAACAAGAAATATAGCAATCTCAAAATATTTCCATCTGATATCATATAAATTTTTAAAAACATTGTAAAATTTAATCAAAGTAAATTATTTCAGTTAAAAAGCTTTCAGTCCCTTTAAAATTTTTAAATGACTTTTTTTCAGAGATGTTCGGTTGATTTGTGATGAAAAACGAGTTCTCTCCTGTGATAAAAATGGTGTTCTATGTGTTTGGAATATTGAAAATGGAGAACATCTTAATAAAATTCTTAAAGGTTATAAATAAATAGATGTTAAAGGAAATCTCAATTCTAAGAAGAATGGAAACAATTTTAAAAATAGTTTTAACAACTTATATTTTTTAAACTTATTGTCAGAAACGAAATTGAGTTTTTGCCACAATTGCTGATTTTCTAGTCCCTATATCATTGCAACCCAATTTGCCTTTCATATTTCAAACTATAAACTCTAAACTCAATCAAGCTAGGATTGAAATATCTAACTTAGATATTTCAAACTTAGATTCTAAGGTTTACACCCTCAGCTTGCAAAGATATTGGGATTAGAAAACTTTATTTTTGGCAAAAACTTAATTCCTTCCACCATAGTTTTGTAAAACCTTGGGAAAAAATTTGATTATTTGAGTTTTTTTAATTGTTTTTTTATCAAATTGATTATTGATCCAGGTGAGACGGCTTTCTCTTCTGGAGTTGATACTTGGGAGGGAGTTGGTCAGAGTCTAGTTGCTGTAGCAGGAGTCAATGGTGGAGTTAATGTTTTAGATCTAGATTGTGGTACTCTAGTTTCTAATATAGCTAGGTACATATATATGGCTCACTTTACTCTAGTTTCTAATATAGCTAGGTATATATATATAGCTCACTTTACTCTAGTTTCTAATAATAAGTTTAATATTTAGAAACTCTCCTAAGATTAGTGTAGCAAAGTTTACTATTACAAAACTCTCCTAAGATTCATGTAGCAAAGTTTATGTGTAGCGTAAAGTTTATTATTCAGAAACTCTCCTGAGATCCGTGTAGCAAAGTTTATTATTTAGAAACCCTCCTGAGATCCGTGTAGCAAAGTTTACTATTTAGAAACCCTCCTGAGATCCGTGTAGCAAAGTTTATTATTCAGAAACCCTCCTGAGATCCGTGTAGCAAAGTTTATTATTTAGAAACTCTTCTTAGTTCCGTGAAGCAAAGTTTATTATTCAGAAACCCTCCTGAGATCCGTGTAGCAAAGTTTATTATTTAGAAACTCTTCTTAGTTCCGTGAAGCAAAGTTTATTATTCAGAAACCCTCCTGAGATCCGTGTAGCAAAGTTTATTATTTAGAAACTCTTCTTAGTTCCGTGAAGCAAAGTTTATTATTCAGAAACCCTCCTGAGATCCGTGTAGCAAAGTTTATTATTTAGAAACTCTTCTTAGTTCCGTGAAGCAAAGTTTATTATTCAGAAACCCTCCTGAGATCCGTGTAGCAAAGTTTATTATTTAGAAACTCTTCTTAGTTCCGTGAAGCAAAGTTTATTATTCAGAAACCCTCCTGAGATCCGTGTAGCAAAGTTTATTATTTAGAAACTCTTCTTAGTTCCGTGAAGCAAAGTTTATTATTCAGAAACCCTCCTGAGATCCGTGTAGCAAAGTTTATTATTTAGATACTCTCCTGAGATACGTGTAGCAAAGTTTACTGTTCAGAAACTCTCCTGTGATCCCTGTAGCAAAGTAGATTATTTAGAAACTCCCCGGAGATACGTGTAGCAAAGTTTATTATTCAGAAACTCTCCTGAGATACGTGTAGCAAAGTTTATTATTTAGAAACTCTCCTGAGATACGTGTAGCAAAGTTTAGTCCTGACGGGAAGGTTCTAGTGACCGGGCATGACTCTGGAGAGGCCCAGGTAGTATTTCACCCAAGTTAAAGGGTATCATATGGCAAAACTTTTGAATCTTAAATCTATGTCATTAGAGCTGATATGATTTCTTTACCCTTCGTCGGTTAAACTTTTAAACTCTACAATTCGAAAGCTTACATACATCATGAAAACATTTTGCCCTCAGACTTCATAGAAATAATTTCTTTTCATTGGAGGAATTTTTTTGATAGTTTATTAAAAAGATGCTTTTTTAAACAGGAAGAAATCATTTTAAAGAATTCGAAAGATCTGTACATCTTTTTCAGCTTTATCTTTTTTGAAAAGCTTATTTATTTATTTGCAGGTTTTTGCTATTTTTTATCTCCTTCACTTTCTATCTTTTCCTTTTTCAAAATGCATGAATTCGTAATCTTTCTGCCCCTTCTACATTTCTTTATTCAGTTTTTTTTACAAAGATTGCAAAATCATTGATGATGCAAAAAAAAATTTTAAATAACATTGGTCCATACAGACTTTATAAATTTTTTCAACATTCCATTATAATATTCTATTATTATCTATCGTTGAATATTGTTAGTTCCCAACTGCTGGAACTCAATGATTCAATTATTTCCAACTGCTTAAGTTTTGGTTAAAGGTTGATGTTTTATAAAAGAATTTAAGTCTCTGCTACAAACTCAAATTTTCTAATCTCTATATCTTTGCAACCTGATGGTGTAAACCTTTGAGATTTACCTTTGAGGTCTACGACAATTGGCTGCAAAGATATAGGATTAAAACATCTGTGTTTGTGGAAAAGACTCAAATCCTTTGATCTTGTTTCCCTAAACAAATTACAAGAATATTGAAAAATTAGATTAAATGTGCATGCATAAAAATCAAGTGTGAGGACCAGACTACTTTATAATTTTCCCGCTTACAGACATCTCTTAAAGATAGCACCAATATTTCCATAAGTACTATGTACAATTGTACATGGTTAAAAAGTGTTGAATAAATGGTNCTGCCTCCTGTTTACAGCGATGACCATGCATGATTAGGAGGAGTACGATGAGGGTGTGGATGTCAGAAAATGGAAAGGTCCGATGACCATAGTTCAGGTGATGAGGGTCATTTGTGCAGATATTTGTACAGTGGTATGCGTTTGTATCACTAAAGTGATAACGATAGAAAGTCGTCATCATTGCAGTGATGCAAACTGTATAAAAACTTGTTTGGTGTTGTATTTGGTGGCAGTTGCATGCATTATTCTATTAGGNCCCCCCCACGCCACTCTTTAATTTAAAAAAGAATAGTAATTTTACAAGAACACTAACACAAAATATAAAAAATTTACCGACATATGTCCAAAAAAAACTCTTAAAGATGTACTTTACGAATAAACGACTATTTCAGACGGTGTTTTGTCCAAAACTCTCATTTCTTTTTAATATTTGTTGTTTTAACCGAATTGTTTTTAAGAAAATATTTTCAATAAGAAAAATCTTTTTACTTTGTTAAGTAGTTTGTTAAACTTTATCTTTTAGAATTAAAGCTAGGTGTCGACCTAATATTTTCAGGAATTACTCCAATATCTAGTAAAGGCTTACCCAGTACCCACAAAAGATGAAACTGTAAAGACGACCCAAAACTCTAAAAATATGACGATTTTAAGCTTGCTTTTTGGTTTCTGCATTCGTTTGAGTATTTTGCTGGTTGACTAGGGGATTTAGCACAGAAATAAGCCAGTTTTGGCCTACAAGGAACCTTAAATGCAAGGAAATAGACAAAACAAATTCCGTACAATCGTCTCTGAAGTCTCATCCTTTGTGGTTAACCCCCTATACGGTCATAACCAGAAATCTGTAGAATACGAAGACGACTTTGAAGTAATACTGAAGTACATTTGATGTTGTTACAAGACAAATAGCTTTACTAGTAAGTTATATTAAATCACTTATAAAGGGAAATGAGTCTGTTTACACTGCACAATTGCTCTGTCTTATGTTCATTGGGCTAAATAAAGTCATAACTGGAGTTTAAAAGTCGACTTCCTTTTCCAGAGTTTTCTGGTTATCACTGTATAATAGAAAAACATACCGCGCTCATCGCAGACAACATTTTTAAAAATGGCGGTCAATGGTCGACACTGCAACACATTTCATTAAGGTTTTTTTCATATGAATAAAGGTAACCTTATTACAAAAATGCAAGATAAATTTTTTTCCAACTGTGAAATCGCATGCCCACAGAAAAAAATGCGATTTTTTTCATTTTTAGCAATTTTTGGGGATTTTTTCATGCAGTGTTATTGTCATTTTTCGTTCAGTTTTGATAGTGTGAACAAAATAAGCCACTTTTTGGAAAGCCGATGTCCTGAGCCTTATGTTGAAATACAGATTTTTATAGACAGTGTCTTTTTTGCAAGAAAATAATTTGGCTTTTTCTCCAAAAAAATTAAATAAGTAGAGACATTTGCTTTTCCTTGTTGACCCCTCTTAATAACCCTCCCCAAAAAAAAATGCTTTTTGTAAAGTTATTATAGTGTAAATATTGAGAATGTATTAATAAAAATATTCTACAGTGATAACCAGACAACTCTGGAATAGGAAGTCGACTTTTAGACTCAATTTATGACTTTGATAGTCCATGAACATGAGATACAGCAATTGTGAAGTGTAATTAGACCAATTTCACTTAATAAGTGATTTTATAACATTCTTGTAAAGCTTTTTGCGTTGTAACAACTTCAAATGCACTTCAATTTTGCTTTAATATCGTCTTCACATTCTATAGTCTTCTGGTGATCACTGTACCATCTATACTTTGTTAATATAGTTTTTAAAAACGGAAGAAAAAAAGTTTTGTAATTTTCTGTTTAACACAGCAAGCCATCAAGTTACAAGATTTAGTTAACACCTATTATATCTTAGGAATGTTAGCTTAAGACAACCGCCGCGACTGGGACTTACTAAGGAATTATACTTTTCAGGATGCTTAGGGGAGGGAAGGTCCAGAAGTTGGGAATAAGAACAAATTTCTTTAATTGTAAACATTATTGTTGTTCTAGGACTGTTCTACACTGCTAACAGCCGGAGATAGGTTGATTTGGTGGAGCCTACAGTCCTTACTGCAAACTAATGTAAAACTTTTAATTTATTATTTTTTATGGTTTTTTACAACTTAGATAAAATGTAAATAACTGTGGAATATGAAGACGATATTTAAGTAATATTTTATGTATTTGAAGCTATTATAGCAAATATTTTTACCAATTGTTTGAAGTGATTTATGTTTCAACTGCAAAATTGTTGATCTTCATGTTCTTGGGACTATTTAAACTCATAACGTGAGTCCATGAGTTGTTTTATGATTTTGTGGGTCCTGGGTTCCACTGTACACATTTTATCTAATAAAAAATGGTTAATCTAAAATGATACTCTTGGATGCCTTTTAGGATTTCCCAAATCGGATAGATCTCAATACAGATGTTCAGTACAATTTCATCACATAGTACTAGAGCTGGGCAAACTTCCATTAACAAAGCGGAAGTTTTTTAAAGTTAACGAATGGCAAAAACCGTTAATTTTCTAAAATTTCAACTAATGGAAATAGACATTTTAAAGAAAAAAAAATAATTGTTGGAGAAAACCAAAACATATGTTTTAAAATTTCAACGACTTTCATTCTTCTCTGGTCTGAAAAAAATTAACATAACGAACGTCTAGAAAGAAGTCACAACGTGCCTACATAGCACCTTTCTTTTTGGGTAGATCTTTTTACATGAACTTAAGATATTTCACATGTAAGGTTGATTTTTTTTAGGCTGTGACCAGGAGAAGAAAGATGTCTCTGCCTATCCCTAGATCTAGAAGGTAATTTTATACTAGAGAAAATTCACAGTTTGAAATCAGTGATGGAATTTAAAGAATTTGAGCCGCGGTTTAAATCCGCCAAAACCCGGTTTAAATTAAGCGCCGGCTTAAATATTGAAACATTTGATACAATTTTAAGTGGAACCAAGCATATTTAAACCGCGGCTTAAATTTAAACCGCCGCTCAAATTCTTTAAATTCGGCCACATGAGTGGCTGAACTCCCAGGTTGGTTGAAGGCGAGCAGTTTAGACACAGATTTCCAGGTTGAAAATAAGGTTGGGCATGAATTCCCAGGTTGGTTAAAGGCGAGCAGTAAACACTGATTTCCAGGTTGAAAATAGGGTTGGGCATGAATTCCCAGGTTGGTTGAAGGCGAGCAGTTTAGACACAGATTTCCAGGTTGAAAATAGGACTGGGCATGAATTCCCAGGTTGGTTGAAGGCGAGCAGTAAACACAGATATCCAGGTTGAAAATAGGACTGGCCATGAATTACCAGGTTGGTTGAAGGCGAGAGGTTTAGACACAAATTTCCAGGTTGAAAATAGGACTGGGCATGAATTTCCAGTTTGGTTGAAGGCTAGCAGTAAACACTGATATCCATGTTGAAAAAAGGACTGGGCATGAATTCCCAGTTTGGTTGAAGGCAAGCAGTAAACTCTTCTATTTAGGTTGAAAATAGGACTGAGCATGAATTCCCAGGTTGGTTGAAGTAAAGCAGTAAACACTGATATCCAGGTTGAAAATAGGACTGGGCCTGAATTCCCAGGTTGATTGAAGTCGAGTAGTAAACACTGATATCCAGGTTGAAACTAGAGAAAATTCCCAGTTTGAAATCAGGACTGGGCACAAATTCGCAGGATGGTAGAAGGCGGGCAGTAGACACGGTAGTACATTTTTCAGTCTGTTTGTTTATGGTTAGTTAACCCAAGTCAACCATTGTCATAACATAACGAAATATGGAACAGTGGAGATTCCAGCCTAACTTACAGTATTATAGTCTATCCAAACACAGTTTGCTGTATACTCTAATAATTGTTCTTTTTATATTTTACAAGTACTATGCACTTACTTTAGCTCCGAAATTTGAGTTTTATCGATCTTAGAGTAAACAAAACACGCTGACAAGTGACAGTGTATACTAATTAATTACAAAGGTTGGTTGAAAGTTTAGTAAAAATATAATCTAATAGTCTCAAAGCAAGCATAAGCAGCACTCCTGTAGCCTGAATGGGTTCAGTTATAATTGAATTTTAAGAATGTTTGCTAAATTATTGCTGGTTATTTCTCATCGATTGGTGAGAGCTATCTGTTTCTTCTAATTTTAGGGTTTTCCAGGCATATATTAGTAGTAGTAGGATCTGTCTTGCAATCGTAGCTAATTGCTAGTAGGGAATGAAAACTAAGAAAAAATGCGAAAATTTTCGTTCGTATTTTGCAAAATTTTTCGTGAAATTTCCCACTGTTGGCGAAAATGAAAAAAAGCAAACAATACTTTTGCGAAAAAAAATTCGCAAAAACCAAATGAGTCGTAGCTGCAACAATTGAATGTGCAAAAAAAAATGCAAAATTTTCTATGTAAAAAAAAATTTTTGCTAAAAAAATGATAAGTTTTCGCAAAACGATTTACCCTTTTTACTGGAAACCCTACTTGCTAGTGCGGTATAGGATCAAGATACAATAATAAATAAACTTTACATTTTTTGCATGAAAAAAAAATATATATTTATTGTTTACCTATATTTTTCAGAAGAGGTTTGGATGTTTTAGTATTTATAGCTGTCTGAATTAAAATATATGTAGGTTTAGTTTTATTAGTCCAAGGAGACACCTATTGTAGTAGGAGACACCAATTCTTGACTGTAAGGTTCTAGGTTTCAGATTTAATCTTTCTAAAAATTAAATATATAAAGCACGCTCTGTTTATGCTATGAATTGCTCTCTGCTTCCTGCCTTACCACCAATTCATTATTTTTGATGCATCTCCATAGCAGTTGTTGTTTTCCTCTCTAAAAACTGGTAGAAAGAAGTAACAATTAAGTTCAATTTTTTTTGGAAATTCCTGATTATATCATTTGTCTCCATCGAAAACATGCAGATCATCAATCAAAAAGTGGGGGGTGTAGGGTTTAGATAAAAATGGGAAGTTTCTTTAAGAATATGATGTTCTGTTATCAAAATATCAGGGTCTCCACTAAAATGGTCTTCAGCGAAAATGGGGGTTACTGAAAATAAGCTAGGGATCTCCACTGAGATTGTAGTGGGAGTTTTCAATGAACAGAGGTCATTTGAAAATGATTTCTTTAAAGACTAGATAGAACTTTCTGGATTTTTCTCTGTAAGGGAAATATGGCAGATTTAATTTATATTCCTTTACATAACACAAATGATGGTCTTCAAATTATTCTTACACTGTTTTTCCTTGCAATAATCCTTTCTTCTCTATGTTTCTTTATCTATAATTATTGTGGTAAGTTATTGATGCATTTTTAAAGAATTGAAGTTGTTAAAGTAATTAAATTAAAGTTGAAGAATCATTTATGAATATGATTACTTAACAGGTGTTTCATTCCAACTTTATTGATCCTTTAAGCAAACAATGTTTGTGTTTACAAAAATAATTATAAAAAGTCAGGAAATATGTTGATTTTAAACTAAAAACAATGGCTTTGGGTTTAACGCTAATAATTATGAGAGTCAGAACTGTTAATCTTGGTTAAGTTCTCTAGTTATTTTATCATGGGTTGGAGAGAGCGGACTGTTTCTTCAAATATAATGTTTATCCTTACATATTTTAGAATTATACCTAGCTTCAAGTATATTGATCGAATTTGTCTTGCAGTCTGTGTTACCAACCTGTGTAATAGGGGTATCAATGCTTTATTTGGAGTTAGATGCAATGATAGAGACATCAAATTCAAATTCTACTGCAGCATTCACATTCTCCATGATAGCTTTATCTGTGAATTACCCGATACAATTGGTCCCCATCATCCCTCCATGAACACCAATAGGCATTTGGTCTTAGAGTCTTAGAACAACGTCTACCACCACTATCTCCCCTGATGTCTTTTCTTGCTCATGAAATTGTTCAAGTGGTTTCCAGGTTTTTAAATCTCAGTAAATATTCTGAAAGTTTGATGTACACAGAGTGGTATGAAAAACTAGCCCTATTTTCATTAATGCTTGGACAAATGATCTTGAAATTGATATCTACATTTAAAATAAGGTCTTCAGTATCATTTCTTAATGGTAAACTTTATGGTAAGTTACCCAAAAGAATCAATGATCTCCAAACTTGCTGAATGCTTTAATCAGAGATTTCTGTGGAATGAAGAGAGGACTACAACCTCTTCTGTTTCTGACATTTGACATCAGACAACTTTATTGGTAGCAACCCTTTTCCTGGCTGTTTCCTGGAACTTTTTGGGAATGTTATCCTTAGCTCTGTGTTTGATGCTCAATTTGATCTATATCTCATTTGTGCTGGATGACTGTTATTTTTTCCACATGAAACACAGATATAACTTGCATAACTATATAAAGAGTTCTTGACGATTTTTCTTTTAGACAATTTTGCAGATTTAGTAATTTAGATTTAGCTCTAATTTAATCAAATTCCATAATTTTGGAAATAAAGTGGAGGGAAAACTTTCTTAGCATTTTGAAGAGGACCTGCTCAAGTTTTAATGATTTTGTTCTATTTCGTTCAGCTAAAGAATTAAAGAAATCATGGAAGGAAGTTAAAAGGTTTTCATAAAAGAAAGAACACCTAGTTTATATGTATCATCAAGATTTAGAAGTTCTAATCTGAAAATTATTGAATCTGAATGTGCCTTCAATGAACTATTATTTACTGCCCTAATTGCCCTTTTTTGCAAAGATTTGATTTGAGTGGACAATGCATGCCAATTGTGTTTCTCCTGCCACTTTAGCATGTTAACATGGTTTATCTGCAATACATTTTACTTATTTAAGAGCTTTGTTTAGGCATGAAACAAGCCTTAATGAAAACACATAAGACAAAATTACATTCTTACAAAATGTTCACACGCTTGAAACATGTTGCCAGTGTGAAGAGTCAGAAGAGGCCACATATTGGTTTTGTAACAAGCCTCCAGTTTCTAACCATGGGTTGGAGAGAAAGGACTGTTTCTTCAAACATAATATTTATCCTTGCATTTTTCAGGATTATACCTAGCTTCAAATATAAGTGGTTTGACAGGATTTGCTTGGCATTATATTTCCTTGGCACATGCTTTCTAGGGTATTTAGCATTGAAGTTGGATGGAGTATCAGTGATAATTACTGCAGATAGACCAACAGCTGAAAAATTTGCTGTTATTGCTAATTCTGTGAATTACCCTCTTCAAATGATTCCAATCATTCCTTTAATTGCCTGCTTCTTAAATCTAAATAAACATTTGGTCTCTGAGCAGAAATTACCTTTGCCCTACAGATTTATGACTTTTCTTGCATATGGAGCAGTGCAAGTCATTTCCAGCTTGGTTTTACTTTATGAGTATTCATTAGAAGATGTTTACTCAAAGTGTTTAAATTTTTTAGTCTTAATTTTACTGATGCTTTGGTTTATGGTCCTAAAGCTGATATCAGCTTTTCTAATAGGTTCGTCTGTTGCTTCTTGTTGTAGAAAACTGCAGGATGAGTTTCCACAGGAGAGTTTAAATCTTCAAAGATCTCTGAATGGTCTAATAAAAGATTTTGTTGGATTGAAAAAAGGGATTCAACCGTTTCTGTTAATGACATTTGTCACACAGACAGCAATACTATCATCATCACTTTATCTGGTCTTTGCTTATAAATTCTGGGTCATGATATTATTTGCTCTGTGTTTGGTGCTAGATATGGTTTATATCTCATTTGTACTGGATGACTGCTATGGAAGCTTTAAATCCCTTGTTCTACGACTTCGGCAATGTGGAGCTGATAAAGAAGAGGGTATAGATGTTATTATCTACATCATTGACGCAGAACAACCTTTCACAGCTTATGGATTCTTCAATGTGGACCGGTCTCTGCTTTCAAGCATATTTGGAAATATCCTCACCTACCTTATTATTCTTCTTCAATACAAATAACTTAAAACATATTATAGATTTATAATGTATAAATTACTTTTAAATCAATATAAGCTTGTAAAATTTTTGTGTTTTTTAGTATTAAACAAAGAATGGAATCATTGTCCACAAAAATTTTACTAGAAGGAGATTGTTTATTTCACGTACCGTCCCATGAGTTTGCCGCATATTGTCTGTAGTGTGTACTGTACAGCTTTTTCTAGCAGGTTCGAAGTAGGCCTGTACTTGAAATTAATTGGAGTTTCTAGTGTGATCTCAGTTGGGAAGATGAAAATTATGAAGCCAATGATTAAGAATATAAAAACTGTAAATATTAATTTTTTCTGTTTTATATTTTACTTGTTTCATAGTAGAAACTATCCAAAATATCCAAAATCTTTTTGATTCCATCAATGTATAAAGATTGACACTAACTATGAGTTCTTTGACGAAGATTTGCAAAGAACATTTTAATCAAAGAACTAGACTATGAATACCAAATATCAATAAATTTTAATAAATCATTTTTGCATTTTCATTCGAATCATTTTCAAATATTTCTGAAACGTTATTAAAATATAACTCTTTTTTTTTTAATTTACCATATTTTATTTATGTTTTTCACTTTGAGAACCAGTTTTTTTCTTCAATAAACTGAGCGGACAATTTATTTAAAATTTTTTGTTTTAGAAGTGTTCTATACTAGATGGTACAACAAACTTTGGCAATGAACTTTTTAAAGTACTTTGTTATAATTTAGTTAGGGACTAATTTCAAGTGTCCAGCCATTTGGATAATGGTGTGTCAGATTCACAGTAGTGCCCTCTGACTGGTCATCAAGAATGATGGACTTATTCTTAATTATATTGATTTCTTTTGGATGACCGGTTTCCAACTACTCTCTCTTTATTAACTGTTTTTTCTTCTTTGATTCTTTATTCAGGTGGTGCTACTTGGTAGATTTTCTTACAACAGATGAAAGGGGGAGAAGAGAGTTTGCTTTAACTGAAATAGATTGAAGTATTTTAGCAACAATATAACATTGATTAGAACAATTTTTATGATTTCATATAATCACTTACACGAATGTCATCTATTAAGAAAAGAAATCAAAGTATGTCTACATCCATAGTTGGTTTAGGCCTTACTGAAGCTAGGATCCAGGCATATACATGCGTGCGCGTGCGCGTGCGCGCAACAATTGGAAATGTACATATTCTATATAGTAAAAAATGGGAATAGATCAAATGCCTAATTCTTAAATAGTTTTTTTGCAGTGTTTTTGCACTTTTTTGCACAAATTCAAAATTTTTCACACATATTCATTATTACACATTTGTGCATGGAAAGCATCTAACCTGACTTTTTTAAAAATGAGAAAATATTTAAATAAAGAAATGTTTGCAAAAAATTGTACAAGCCGTTTGCTTACTTTCTTTATGAGTTATGATATTGTAAAATGTATGTCAATCAATGAAGAAATCAGGTGTTTACAAAATCTGTGCAAAAATAATATTGCAAATCTGCGCGAAAACTGTTCTAAAACTGATAAACTAAAATGGTTAATTTACTCATCTCAGCAACTTTCCAAAAATATTAACTTTCTATTGTTGAATGAATAAAAGAATTGCTAGTGTTGTGCAATACTTTGTTGCAAAATTTATGATAAACGTTTGCAAAAAGAGGGCAAATCTTTAAACATCATTATTCTTCTGATCCCTCAAAATTGGACAATTTGGTATTAAAAGCAAATTTAATCTAGCAGGTGAAACAGGCTGCAGTAGGCCTGGACTTTCAGGCAGTTATAAAAATTTTTAAATTAAAAAAAATATATTTAGGAAAAGTCGAGAAATTCAGCTCTCTAACCCTTATAGTTNCTATTTATACTCCTTCATAAAAATCTATAAAAATCTGCAAAATTTTTTATTTTACCTTTTTTAAAAAACGGCGGAATGAAGAGAACATTTGAAGGCTAATACAGAAAAAGAAGGGTGAAGTGCCCTAAAAGCCTAATCCAAACACTCTGAAATAGAAAGACGACTTTTATACTCTAGTTATGACTTTAAATAGTCTAATGAACATGAGACACAGCGATTGTGTAGTGTAAATAAACCCATTTCACGGAATAAGTGATTTAATAAGTTACTATAGTGAAACTACAGGGTGTCCCAATAAACATGGGAATTCAGTGACGAATTCGATATCGTCTTTTTAAATAATTCTTTGATTAAGTCTAGTGATACCTACTGAGAAAGCTGTAATCTTTAAGAGTTCCGTCTGCCATGTTCACATTTTGTTTGTTTATGTTTTGACTGCATGCGGTTGTACAAGGAAATTGCAGTATACAAACAGAGTAAACTTGTCCGTGTTCACTGCTCATCTTGCGGAGACATTATATACACATCTTTAGAGCCATTTACCGTTTTCATAAAATAAACTCTAGGAGACATAATAATATTATGGCTTTTAAAATTAGGTATTAAAATGCTAATTAATAACAAAGACGATATCGAATTCGTCACTGAATTCCCATGTTTTTTGGGACACCCTGCATTTGCTTTACAGCAACATCAAATACGCTTAATCATTACTTTTATGTCGTCTTCCTATCTACAGATTTCTTGTTCTAACTGTACTTATTTCAGGCAGTAATACACCCCCTACCTCTAGATTCATTTATCCAACCCCTGTTTCACCCCTAGCCAGAAGGAAAATAGCAAAGGTGAGAAAAACATAAGAAAAGTACAGGGTTTCCCACAAAGGATGAAACTTCGAAATTTATTTAGTCCGTTCTCATGCATTCAGGGTTCCTTGAAGGTCAAAACTGGTTTATTTTTGTGCTGGACCCTTTTATATCAAAATACTCAATTGAATGCAGAAACCAAAAATCAAACCTCAAATCGTCATATTTTTAGAGTTTTGGGTCGCCTTTACAGTTTCATCCTTTGTGCATAACTCTGTATATAATTTAAGGGGCTTCTTGACTTTCTTGCATTTATTAAATAGAAGAAAAAATTATTTTTACAGATTTAATTTATTTCGAAATCAAAATTTGTACACCTGATGTTGCACTTTATTAAAGGTTTCTTTAATTTTCTTGAGATTAACAAAATGCAATATTAATTTTCTTAAATTCAAGGCTCAAGGATTACAATAAAAAGTATACTGAGGGAAGTAACCGACATGAGCCGCCATGAGCCTCCCATATTTGCTATGCAGTACACAATTTATACTGAAACTTTAAAGTTTTTTACGAGATAAGGAAGATATAAAAAAACAAATTCTTAATTAAATTCGATTTGATTTGTTATACATTTTTTGTTGATTTAAAGAAAAACTTAAGATAATTCTTTAAAACAATAATTTTGCATTTCAAGATTTATCTAAACATAAAGGATTTTTCTTTAAAAGTTATTGCTTAAATAAAAGATTTTAAGAAATCAAATTTTATCTATAGTTAAATAGTATGAAATTAGTACCGCATAACGGAGGCTCGGTGCTGCATTGCAAATCTGGGAGGCTCATGGCGGCCGAGGGTTCCCTCCCAAATAGTGTATAGGATGTAAACAAAATCTTCATGTTAAGATTGGGACCGGAGACAAAAAAGAACTTTTGCAGACGTTTGACATCAAGGGAAGCTCCGTGAAACAAGTGTTTGTAAATCAGGTTAGTTAGTATAGTTAGTTAGATAAGGAAGGTTAGTTAGTGGAGTTAGTGAGATAAGGAAGGTTAGTTGGTGGAGTTAGTGAGATAAGGAAGGTTAGTTGGTGGAGTTGGTGAGAAAAGGAAGGTTAGTTGGTGGAGTTAGTGAGATAAGGAAGGTTAGTTGGTGGAGTTAGTGAGATAAGGAAGGTTAGTTAGTGGAGTTAGTGAGATAAGGAAGGTTAGTTGGTGGAGTTAGTGAGATATGGAAGGTTAGTTGGTGGAGTTGGTGAGATAAGGAAGGTTAGTTGGTGGAGTTAGTGAGATAAGGAAGGTTAGTTAGTGGAGTTGTTGAGATAAGGAAGGTTAGTTGGTAGAGTTGGTGAGATAAGGAAGATGTCTTTTATTACAGGGTTACACACCACACAACGAATGGGACTGCAAAGACGACTAAAAACTCTTAATATATGACGATACCAAGTTCAAATTAAGTCTTTTGCCTAAAATATAGTATTTTTATGGCTTATTTAATGATTTAGCAAAGAAAAGAAAAACAGTTGCAAGGAATCATAAATATAAAGAAACAGATAGTGTAAATTCACTACAGTCGTCTCTGAACTCTCATCCTTTATGGGTAAGCCTGTACAAAAAGAATATTAATTTATCCAGATTTTCTGTTAAATTACCCTATTTGCACCTAAACGGGGTTTCCTAAGAAAATAAAAGTAATAGATAAATTTGCTAAAGCTCGCTAAATTTTATTTTGTATTTCTTACGTCACCTTAGTTTGGCCTCCTTTAGGGACCTTACCTAATAATTTTGGGTTCTCTATGAAACTGACATTTCTTGCTTCAGAAACAATGAGAAATTAACAGAATTAAACACTTTTCAACGACGTTTTTGATGAGATTAGGGTTTAAAGTGTTCCGTGAATAGAGAATGTCCCTCTTCAGATCCTTTAATGAATTAAATTTCAGGAGTTTAATCAGTTTGTGACTGTGGATGATGCCGGTATATTGTATATACTAGATGAATTTATACCTGCAGTACCTGTTTTCAAGTAAACACAAAGCAACGGACACATTGATCGAGGGCCGGAATAATTAAACCGTGTTTTTGCAAAATAAAATCAAAATGTCGTTTTTATAGATAAAGGCCCAAAATTAAGAAAATTAAGTTTTATGATACAGTGATAATCAGAAAACTCTTAAATAGAAAGAGTACTGTTAAACTCAAATTTTGACTCTAAATAGTCCAATAAGCAAATAAGCATGGGCCACACCAATTGTGCAGTGTAAACAGATCCATTTCAATCGATTAGCGATTTATCAAACGTCTAGTAAAACTATTAGCTTTGTAAACAACATCAAATACACGTATTTATTCCTATAAAGTCGTCTTCCTATTTCAGAGTGTTATGGTTACCACTGTATCTGATAAGCTATTGTTTTTTGTAGACCTCAAAACAAGATATAATTTAGAATGTTAATCTCCGAGTTGAATAATTATTTTCTATTGTGTAGACAATCCCATTAACTGATAAATTGATCTCCCCGTAAATCGACAGATAAAGACGACATGAAATCATCGTCCTGGAATTCGTACTTTTGTTTTGCTCCTCTGCTTCATTTACAAATAACTTAACCCGGCGTCCAATGGCATAAAGAAATGCGTTAAAAAATTGTAATAACACTTATTTTGTCCGAAATTTTCAAGAATTTCAAACCTTGAAAATTAGTGAACAATAAAAATTGTAGATTTAATTTACATATGAGCTTTCCTAGATGTGGCCTTATACATTAAATGTGATGACAAAGATGTTAGAAAATTGCGTATTCTTTTAGATCGAACACGACATTACACATTTTTTGGAAATTGAGTTGTTGGATCTTGAATGCACTTATGCAGTTTTTGAAACTTGTATTTTTTTTTATCATATGATTAGTTAAATTGTGTCATCTGAAATGTAATTTTTCAATTTAAATATATTTTTTCCATGAACTTTAATTTAATATTTATGAAAGAGAAATGCGAAGACAGACTTTTTGTTGACGGTTGTTAGGATAATGAAAGTTTGTATTATTCGTTATAAACAGGTTACTGCAATTTATTCAGAGGAGAATATTAGCAGTAGCACTGCATTTGTGAACAGTCTATTAGCACAATCTGGACCCCTTCGCCTTTTTAACCCAATGTTTCACATGAAAAGCAATGTTTTAACACTAAAATTATTAGTTGATTAAATACGCATTCAGTTTTTAATTGTATTTTCAATGGGGTAAAAGCAAAAAAGGTTATTTCCTCTTGAATGTTGTCTTCCTTTCAAATCGTTTAACAATTAATATTTACTTAAAACGTACATAATTTTCTATGTGTTTTTCAAATCAAAAAACTGTAATAAATACCAGAAAATGTTATTATATTGCTTTTTGTATCTAACATTGTGGTAAAATGGTTAAAACTTGAGGAATACGCCCCATGCTTGATTCCTCTCCATGCATAGCACCGAGCATCATAAAAAAAACTAAAAATGGATTGTTGAGAAAGAATACACTCTTTATTTGTTTCCGTTTATTTACAAATTTTCTGAAGTACAATAAAAGTCATTTATTAGTTTTACATGTTAATTAACGATACAAAAATATTGCATTTTGAAATGCACATTTCATCAATTCAGTCAAGATATCTTACTAAAATAGCTTAAAGCTATAATATTCATATTAGATTTATAAAATAGAAATTTTCTCTAAAATATCGCCAATAAAATCGGAAAAATGGAAAATTCAAAATGAACCAAATAAATTAGATTATAGATCCCTCGGAGTCTGAAACTGACCGATCCAGTTCCTCCAGTAGTTTAGCTCGACTCACGTTCGCACTTCCATTCTAAAAATAATAAGAAATAAAAAAGTTTAATCTTTGTTTTATAATTGTATTTACCTCCATGAACGCCACATCAAAGTTTTCTGTTGGTTCTATCTGCTGCATTGCCATTTCCTCAAATCTACCGGACGTAGATTTTCCAGATCTTACGGATTTCGCGGATTTACCAGATTTCCCGGATTTGTAGGATTTTAGACTTGAGCGCGCCGGTCGACTAACAGAGGCTCTCCTTAAATAAAGTATATTGTGCATTTAGGGACAAACTGTCTCCTGAATCAGACATCCCTACCTGGATACTCCTGAATCAGAAACCCCTACCTGGAGTATACTCCTGAATCAGAAACCCCTACCTGGAGTATACTCCTGAATCAGAAACCCCTACCTGGAGTATACTCCTGAATCAGAAACCTCTACCTGGAGAATACTCCTGAATCGGAAACCCTTACCTGGAGTATACTCCTGATTCAGAACCCCTACCTGGAGTATACTCCTGAATCAGAAACCTCTACCTGGAGTATACTCCTGAATCAGAAACCTCTACCTGGAGTAAACTCCTGAAATAGAAACTTCTACCTGGAGTATACTCCTAAATCAGAAACCTCTACCTGGAGTATACTCCTGAATCAGAAACCCATGCCTGGAGTATACTCCTGAATCAGAAACCTCTACCTGGAGTAAACTCCTGAAATAGAAACCTCTACCTGGAGTATACTCCCGAATCAGAAACCTCTACCTGGAGTAAACTACTGAAGCAGAAACCCCTGCCTGGAGTGTACTCCTGAATCAGAAACCTCTACCTGGAGTATACTCCTGAATCAGAAACCTCTTCCTGGAGTATACTCCTGAATCAAACACCCCTACCTGGACACTCCTGAATCAGAAACCTATACCTGGAGTATACTCCTGAATCAGAAACCTCTGCCTGGAGTATACTCCTGAATCAGAAACCTCTACCTGAAGTATAATCCTAAATCAGAAACACCTGCCTGGAGTATACTACTGAATCAGAAACCTCTACCTGTAGACTCCTGAATCAGAAACCTCTACCTGGAGTATACTCCTGAATCAGACACCCCTACCTGGAGTATACTATTGAATCAGAAACCTCTACCTGGAGTATACTCCTGAATCAGAAACCTCTACCTGGAGTATACTCCTAAATCGGAAACCTCTACCTGGAGTATACTCCTGAATCAGAAACCTCTACCTGAAGTATACTCCTGAATCAGAAACCCCTACCTGGAGTATACTCCTGAATCTGAAACCTCTACCTAGAGTATACTCCTGAATCAGAAACCTCTACTTTGTGTATACTCCTGAATCAGAAATCCATATCTGGAGTATACTCCTGAATCAGAAACCTCTACCTGGAGTAAACTAATGAATCAGAAACCCTACCTAGAGTATACTCCTGAATCAGAAACCCTACCTAGAGTATACTCCTGAATCAGAAACCCTACCTAGAGTATACTCCTGAATCAGAATCTGAACTACTCAAAGGACCAGCAACAGGGTTGGTTTTCTTCCAAGCTTCCACCTAAATATTGATGGAATAGAAAATCTAACAGTCAAGTCTTATCTTACTTGAACTCTATTTAATTTCATTAATGTCGTCTGTCTAAAAATATGGCCGACCTTTATCCCAGATGAAAAACAACCGGCTTAAAACAGACATTTAACGTTATTTCAAGTGACCTTTCATTGAGAGAATGGTTATTTGCGATTAACAACAGTACCCATAACAGCTTTGGTTGATCAAGTATTCACAAGATATCCATGTTTTCTTTTGAAAGACTTTATTTTCATGAAATCATCTGAATTAAACAACTCTGAAGCTAAAAACAATGTTTTCTTCCGCATCATAGATCCGATTGAGGTTTTAAGGGAACCATTGCAAGGATCACTACACAATCTTTCAAGATAAAAGTTCAAGTTGTACATTAATGATAATCTTAAAAATTATGTTTACACTGTACAACCCTTTTAAGAAAGACGACATTGACAAGACCACCAACCTTTTCCTCTTGAGATAAAGCTGAATTGTTGGCGGGGGGTTCAGATACAGAGAATGTATTATTAGCAGGAAGTTTTGGTGGCTGATATTTTCCAGATCGACCAGCCAGCTTACTCGGCAACTTAATCCTAGAAAACATATATAATACAAAGTACTAGGCTTCAAAGACGACTGTAAGGAGTTTATACTGCCATATTTACTTATATTTATGGTTCTCTGTAACAGTAAACTTTAATCTTTCTTTGCCAAATTGTTTAATAAGCTTTTGAAAGACTTAATTCAAGGCAGAAAACTTTCAGCCTTGAGATCGTGATAATTTTTAAAGTTTCAGATCGTCTTTGCAGTCTTATCCTTTGTGGATAATCCAATACGATAGACTAGACGAAAGATTAACAACTTTGTTTAGTCTAAGTCTAGCTTTCAAATGTAACAGTTTATTTTATGTTCTCTGTAATTGTGATAATCTTAAGTGGTCCCAATAAACACTATGATCATCTGAAGTGGTCCCCAAATATCTATTCATCTGAAGTGGTCCCCATATATCTATTCATCTTAAGTGGTCCCCATATATCTATTCATCTTAAGTGGTCCCCATATATCTATTCATCTTAAGTGGTCCCCATACATCTATTCATCTTAAGTGGTCCCCATATATAGGATTATCTTGAGTGGTCCCCATAAACACTATGATCAACTTAAGAGGTCTCAATAAAACTATGATTATCTTAAGTGGTCCCCGAAAACTATGATCATCTTATTAAGTGGTCTCCATAAAACTACGATCATCTTGTGGTCCCCATAACACTTTGATCATCTTAAGTGGTCCCCATGAAACTATGACCTTCTTAAGTGAACCCTATAAAACTAAAATCATCTTACGTAGTACGCAAAAAACTGTGGAACACAACGACGACTTTTAAGCTAAGGATATTGTAAAATATTTTAATATGACACGGCAATTCACTTGATGAGTTGATTTTTAATAACTAGTAAAACTGTTTGCTGAAGAACATCAAATGTCGTCCTCCTGTTTCTGTTTTATGGGAATCACCGTAGGTTTCAAATATCTTGCCTTGAGTAAATGTTTGATTCTTGGTTTCGCTGAATCGTCCAAATATTGGTCTTAATACCACTCTAAAAATAATCATACAATCAATAGATTTAAAAAAACTCATATCCGTACAATGTTGCTTTGATAAAAAAGCATCCTCGCGTGATAAATAAAAGCAACCTTGGAGAAATGAACTACTGGTAAAATAGGATTTTTTTCTGGAGCAACTTGATTTAGAAAAATTTAGAAAAATATAGGCATTTGCCATTTTCTGTTGTGCGCTCATGCCCCGTAAAATTCCAAAAGAGATGGAGGGGGATTGAATTTTGTAGATCCAGAAAAATAATATCTGTGGGATGCCTGTGTAGAGACTGGCAGCTGGAGGGGTCTTAAATGTAAGACATGTGGCCGCAGCGCTCGGCCCCCTAGCCTGTCCTAGCCGCAGCGCTCGGCCCAGAAAGTGTCTTAATCTAACCTAACGCTAAATAAATACTAATATAATTGTTTTTCTTGATCTACAAAATTTAATCCCCCTCTCTCTGTTTTGGAATTTTACGGGGCATATGCGCACAACAGAAAATGGTAAATCCCAAAAATATAAGGGGGAGAGGAGCCAAGTTGGCCAGGCCCAGGCCCTATGAAGTTGTGCATGTATAATGTATGATATGATAAGTTTTGTAATGTACCTTGTTGTAAAGGTTTACTCCTGATGAATCTTGATCTGAATCCATTAATTCCAAAGAGTTAAAACTCTTGAACTCCGCTAGAGACTTGGCGCTCAGAATCCGGTTCTTCACGCGGTTCTGTCGCCATCTTTAATTTAAACAAGGTTTATGGTTGGCACCATCTTTAATTTAAACATGGTTAATGGTTGGCGCCATCTTTAATTTAAATAATTGGTTTATGGTAGACGTCATTTTTAATTTAAACATGGTTAATGGTTTGCGTCATCTAAGTAAACATGGTTAATGGTTGGCACCATCTTTAACGTAAACATGGTTAATAGTTGGCGCCATCTTTAACGTAAACATGGTTAATGGTTGGCGCCATCTTTAATGTAAACATGGTTAATGGTTTGCACCATCTTTAATGTAAACATGGTTAATGGTTGGCGCCATCTTTAATTTAACATGGTGAATGGTAGGCGCCATCTTTAATTTAAAACATGGTTAATGGTTGGCGCCATCTTTAATGTAAACATGGTTAATGGTTGGCCCAATCTTTAAAAAAAAAAAACATTGTCACACATTTGGAACACAGAAACTGGACATATGCTTTATTACAAGGTTTACTATTATACATTACGTCAATGTCAAACTAAATCTAATCCAAAACTTAATTTAAAAATTAATAAAAAGTACAATCAAGAATTTAACAATGGAGTAATCTGAAATATTCCTACCTATTACATCCCACAGTACAGCCAAGTAGTGCTATAATAAGGAATGATATTGCTCCTCCGAATATAACAATCCAGGCCCAATCTGGTAAAGATACATCCAGTACTTCAACCTTACTCCCACCAACCAGGGGGGCCTCAATACCCAGCACATAGAAATCTACATTCTCTGGGTCAACCTGAAAGATAAATCCAATTATGGGATGTCTAATTCACAGAATTGCCCTCTAAAACTTCGTCTGAGTAAGACTAATGAAAGTATCCCTATTATTTTCCTAAAATTGATCATTTTAAATATCAGTTCTCTTTTAAATTTATGCATTTATGCAGCTTGAGAAATAAAAAGAAAATTGTCAGAATTCAATTAATTCAGTTACATAAAATATAACGAGATCTTCCTCGTTTTTGGCAAAATTTAGAGGTACTGTTGTAAATACCTCTCCATAAATAGAGGGTCACATCTAATGATCTGTTCCTTTGACGAAAACTTGTCAACTAAGGCAGAAGCTACTCTTTAATTAATGGGCATTAAACGGAGGATTTTATGACTAAGCTTTAATGACTTTTTTAAACCAACAAGTGGATTTCAACAGAAAATAATAGTACGATTTTGCTCTAGTTGATAGTTTCAATGTAATTCTTTATTTTGACATTCTTTGTAGTGTCAAAATAGAGATAAACTTAATTTAAAATATATTTATTCGATAGTTGAGTTTGTTTTAGTGCCATTTAAACTCTTCAAGCTTATTTACAGTTCTTCAGTCAGTGTTTACCTGAAAATCTCCAAGGTACATGTCTTCTTCCTTCTCAACCAGACCAAGTAGAAACTCTCTTCGGAGATTAGAAGTATCAATGTCAAAAGTCAAACCTTAATATTGTTTTAACTTTGAAACCATATCCTTTTATATTTTTATAACATGTCATGATCATTGATAACTCGTGTTTATAGCTTAAGTTTTGGTTAAAGAATTTAACAAAGAAAAATTATTCAATTTTTTTTTTAATTAACAATGCTACATTATTTTTTAATTTTCTTTTTTTTGAGGTATGAAGAATACACTTGAAATACCTGTAAAGACGACATAAAAATCCACAAGCACCGCATTGTCTTTCAGAGTGTATGCTTCAACTTTAGTGGAACTGATTGAGCTGCCGAAGTAAGCTTTCTTGAAGGCTAGAAGAATCTGAGCCATCAGGCGGGACGAAACATCAACAAAGTTACTTGAATCATGATAGCTGAGATTATCTGTCCATTCAAGTCCTAAAAAAATATGAAATCTGAATTTGTAAAACCAAGAGAGTTTGTTTTACAGAAAAAAATGCTACCTGAAAGTATACGAATGGTTCCGGCTAAACGACAATATTCTCCACATAAACCTGGGGTTGTACTTCTTGGCCTTATTGTGGTTGTGGTGGTTGTGGAAGTCGTTTTGACTGGAATCTTTTTTGTGGTAGTTGATGTTGTAGTGGTAGTTGTGGTAGTCTTAACTTTTTCAACAAAATTTACAGCCTTTCCTTTCAAAATGGATTCAAAAATGCCAGAATCTTCAAAATCAATGTTGTTTATAGGGTTTTCATCTTTAATGGTTTCTTTTATTTTTGAGTCATCATTCTTTATCAATCCACCATCTTTAGACAGCTCCTTGAAGATTGAGCTCAAAGTCTTTTTTGGTTTAAATCTGGGAGCAGGACGAGCGCCATCGTTAATTCTTTGATTTGCCAATGGTCTAGAAATTTCTTCATATTTATTCCTAAAAAAAAATATACATTAAGTAATCCTTTCAACCATCAAAAGTTATGTCTAGACCCTTTGTTAATAAGTTTCATCCAATACGATCCCAAATGTTGATTGATTGATAATAGGGGCAGAAAATTTATCTATTATGTTTGTTACTCATATTTACATCTTTTACACCCCAAATACAGTACACATTTCTGAAGTGTAGTACATGTACGCAAAAAAAAAAACTTGGCAAAATTCGCATTAACACAAAAAGTGTACTACAAACCTAGATTCCATTTGGGATCAAAAATGTAATTATATGGACCCCTGTTTCAATATAATTTTTAAAACTTACCTCAGAAGATCATTAAAATCACCATCTTGGGGATAAACTGGACTAGGTTGGACCACAGGAGGACTTGTCTTCCCGTATCTGTAACCTGTGGGTAAAAACTCATTCACCTAGAAGAAAATGTTAAATTAAATTGATTGTATTTGATATCATACATGATTACTATCTAGATATTTTAGAGAAAGATGTTGTAGTTGTGTAAAATTATTTGCATTTCAAGTTCGCAATATTTTTCTATCTTTGCTATAAATGAATTCGAAATTTTAAGTATTTACAGGTATAAAAATAATAGAATGTATTTTTCAGAAATTAAGCCAAAATTAGATTACTTACTGGCAGAACTGTAATGTTGGATAGTAAAGCACTGATTGGATCAGACGATGATTGCTTATCAGCTCTTCCAAACCCAGAGATTTCAACACCTGTTGTGTTGTCCGACTCTTCGAATGAGAACTTAACATCAGTTTGAGGTTCAATAAAGTCATGTTCATTCTCTGCTGCAGATTTGTATCGTCCCCTGTATGTATTTCTAATCTTGGCTAAGTTAGATAATTCAATAGAAGGAGGTTCGTTGTATCCTGGAGGAAGAAGGGATGTAGGAAGCCGGTCTGGATAATCCTTAACAGGGATATTTTCCTCTACATATCCAGGGGGGAGGAGAGAGGCTGGCAGATCCTCCTTTAATAAAGTGACCTCCTTGTATCCGGGAGGGAGAAGAGAGGATGGGAGATCCTCCTTAAGTAGTGTGACCTCGCTGTATTCAGAAGGGTGAAGAGGGGCCGGAGGATCCTCTCTGAAAATGGTGTCTTCTTTTTCACCAGAAGATTGAAGGGAGGCGAGAAAATCCTTGTTAACAGGTACTTTTATTGGCGTGATAGGGGATCCATGTGTTTCTTGGTTGCTAGTGATGGTCGAAGATTCATCAGAGGCAAGGGTAGTAGCTATTTTTTGATTTGTCGTATTTGAAAGTAAAAGGTTCAATTCTGAATGTCCTCCCTTACTGAGGTTTACATGGCCAGGGACTAAAACTAATGCTTTGTCTCCAAAACTGTTGCGTCCCATTTCAAAGTGCATTTCAACATTATCTTTCATAATAGAAAATATGCTGGTGTTTAACTTCTCCATGAAAATTTCTGCATTTGGTTCATTAAGTACAAGATCAGACATAAGATGCTTAGTTTGATCTCCGGGGGATGAAGTAATATCCTCTATATCTGGTAAGGGTAATGTATTCTTATTCAATTTTTCTTGACCAATTATTGTAATTGATTGTGATTCTGTGGTTTTGAAATAAACTTTTTGATCTTGTATTGAAGAAGTCTCCATATAATTGCGTGTTGGATCAAGGGAATAAGTAGCTTCATCAAAAGTATGAGAAATAGTTATTGAGTCGTTTTTGCTGAGACTTGATTCCCCAATGGTAATCAATGGTTTACCAGAATTTATTATAACCGATGGCTCTAATAATGATGGCTCAAAAACAGGATTCATTGTGGTAGAAATTGTTCCCATTGTTGTTAAAGTACTGACTGGTTCTTTCGTAGTAAAGTCAGGCTCCCTAATTGTAGTGGTAGGCTCCCAAGTTGTGGTAGTTGGCTTCTTAAATGTGGTAGTTGTCTTTTCAGTTGTGGTAGTTGGCTCCATGGTTGTGGTAATTGGCTCCCTAGTTGTGGTAATTGGCTCCCTAGTTGTGGTAATTGGCTCCCAAGTTGTGGTAAATGGCTCCCTAGATTTGGTAGTTGGCTCCCTAGTTGTGGTAGTTGGCTCCCTAGTTGTGGTGGCTGGCTCCCTAGTTGTGGTGGCTGGCTCCCTAGTTGTGGTGGCTGGCTCCCTAGTTGTGGTGGCTGGCTCCATACTTGCGATGGTTGACTCCCAAGTTGCGGTGGTTGGCTCCCTAGTTACGGTGGCAGGCTCCCTAGTTGTGGTGGCAGGCTCCCTAGTTGTGGTGGTTGGCTCCCTAGTTGTGGTGGTTGGCTCCCTAGTTGTGGTGGTTGGCTCCCTAGTTGTGGTAATTGGCTCCCTAGTTGTGGTAATTGGCTCCCTAGTTGTGGTAATTGGCTCCCTAGTTGTGGTAGTTGGCTCCCTAGTTGTGGTGGTTGGCTCCCTAGTTGTGGTAATTGGCTCCCTAGTTGTGGTAATTGGCTCCCTAGTTGTGGTAGTTGGCTCCCTAGTTGTGGTAGTTGGCTCCCTAGTTGTGGTAGTTGGCTCCCTAGTTGTGGTAGTTGGCTCCCTAGTTGTGGTAGTTGCCTCCCTGGTTCTGGTAGTTGGCTCCCTTGTAGTAGTAGTTGGCTCCCTTGTAGTAGTAGTTGGCTCCCTGGTAGTGGACGTTGGCTCTAATGTAGTAGTAGCTGGCTCCATGGTGGTAGTAGTTGGCTCCTCGGTAGTAGTTGGTTCCCTTGTTGTGGTTGGCTCGCTCGGTGTGATTGACTCCCTTGTAGTGGTCGACTCCCTCAAAGTGGTTGGCTCCCTTCCAGAGGTTTCCCCAAGATCCCTAGATGAACCTCAAAAAACAAAGTCAATGCTCAAAATAACTAATAAAACACAATTTAAACATGGGCGGTTGTGTCCTTGCAAAATGCCTTTGGGTAAGTCCTATCATTTAAACTGCATGGTATTATAATGATACATGTTACGAATTGCATTTTCCTAGGTGCAATTCCAAAAAAAATGAATCTTTCTTATCAACGACTATTTTCAAAAATAATTATATCTGAAATCAAATATAACCTTTTCACGCAACTATCCAAAAGAAATATTCTCAAAAGTCAATTAAGAAAAGGAGGATTAAGATTGAAAGATGTTTACAGTTAAAGAAAAAAATGCCCTTTGAAGATTGTAATTTGAAAACATGTCTTAAAATACCTATTAAAACAAAAATACCTGCGAAATCCTTGAAGTTGGAAGTTGTTCCAAATCCTGAGTTAAATTTAGAAATTATAGAAGCTGAAAATCCAGAACCAGGAGAGAATCTAGTTAATGGTGGAGTGGAAAAATCAAAGCTGCTTGCAGAATTTACAGAATTTTGGGGAAATATCTCAGGCTCAGGGGTTGACTGGGGGCTAGGGGGAGAGAACTGGGAGCTAGGGGGAGAGAACTGGGAGCTAGGGGGAGAGAAACGAGAGCTAGGCAGAGAGAATTGAGAGCTGGGCGGAGAAAAATTGGAGCTAGGCTGAGAAAACTTGGAGCTAGGCAGGGAGAAGCTACTTCCAGATGATGAAAATTTGTTGTCAAAAGTGTTCTCCACAACTTCTGAGCTTGTAGGAGATTCTCTGAAGTTAGAACTAGTAAAATCATGACTGGCATCAGTTACAAAATCTGAGTTTGAAGGATTGAAATCAGAGCTGGCAGATGAGGTCTTAGAATCAAGAGAAGGAAGATCTCCTGAATCAGGTGAGGTTGAAAATCCTGAACCCGTAGCAGAGAACCCAGATGAGAATCCTCTGGTACGGGGTCTAAAATCATAAACAGAAAACTGAGGATCTGCGTCTGGAGAGCGTTTGGAACGAAACCGTTGGAATGTATTAGAGTTAAATTTGAAACTAGTGGGTTTAAAGGTTGGAGGGGTTGGTGCAGTGTCTGTAACAGTTTGGGTGGTTCTTGGCTCATATTTGACTGCTGTTACTGTCGTCCTTGTGGTGGTGGTAGTAGTGGTTGTTGTTGTTGTTATTGTTGTTATTGTTGTGGTTGTTGTGGTTGTGGTGGTGGTTGTTGTACTGCTGATGATCTCTATCTTACTGGAGGATGGCATGTGGTCAATGGAAAAAGAAGGAAGAGAGAGCAACTTCTTATTCCTTAATCTCCTAACAGCTAGAATAAACATCTGAATTATTATTTAATAGGATAAGGAAAAAGTTAATACAAAAAATTAGGAAAAAAACCAGCAAATAAATCTTTTATATAAATAAATTAAATTGCACTTTTCTGAAAGAAAAGGGAAAAAACAAGTTGTTTTCTTTCATGAATTAATAAAATACGATCAAATATTTAATTGTTTTATCAAACTAAACGATATATCAACAAGAGGAAGCTTTAAAAGTCCCTAACAAACTAATTTGAATTTCTTTGCATTAATAAACGAAATATATTAATCTAATAAGCGAAATATGTTAATCGTAATACTTTACTTATGCAGGATAGATTCAATTTTATTGAATCAACAGATACAAGCAGTATTCTGTATTAAAGGAATTAACAATGTATCTTCAATTAACTCCATTTTAATAAACTCCATCCCCTATTCACAATGATGGTCTAAGAAGTTTTGTCTGGTCAAGATTAAATGAGGTATCCATATTTTTCTCTTTGATTACTTTCGTTTGCTGCAGGAGTAATTAAGGTAATCAACTAATTTTTCAAGGTAGAAGACAAAAATTCAGATCAAGGTTTAAAGGGTACCATTGTGAATGAAGCATGCTTCTTTCATTAAACATGAAGGGTAACATGAAAGAGGGGAGGAAGGCCAGCCACAACAATTTCTCTTCCGAGCCACATTTTCCTCATTTTCTCATCCGAACCACCTTGAAATCCTCGTCCTTCGATTATTATGTGTTTAAAAGTTTCTAATTCTTGAAGTTAAACTATTTTTAACAAATATGGCCACGTTAAGGCATATCGATAAACAAAAGTATTGAAATGATTAAATCATGTTTGAATCTTTAGAGAATGAGAATGTTGTCAAACTTTATTTAGGTAAAACTGATAACTCTTCTGCGTCCATAATAGCCAACCTTTTAGATATAAAATAAATGGAAAAATATTTGGCATACCTCTGCCAATCATTTTCCCCATGGACCCACCCGGAAAAAATCTATGGTTTTCACTTTAATTAACAAAAAAGATTAAAAGTCCTATAACCTTGAAATTATTTGCGGCATTCTACATCAGGAATATCTGAAAATGCGCGTAAAAAAAGGTGCATATTTGTAAGGACATGTAACTCGAAAATTTTAATTCAATTGAAACTATTTTTTTCGATTTACTAAAATTCAATAATTCATGTTTACCCTAACTTGGGCCGATTCTTAAAAAATAGTCTTTTCTTGGCGGACTAGAATAATATTGGAAGAACGAAAATTTTGAGGTGGCTCGGGCGAGAAAATGAGGAGAATGTGGCTGGCCTTCCTTCCTTCCTTGAAAGTACAACAATACCTTTAATTGTAATTTTGTTAACGCTTTTAAAGACGATGGGAAAAATAAAATAGAACAAATTTTGTTGGATGAAAATTTGACATTTCTTTGAATGCAGTTTAAAAGAAAACTTATTTTGTGAAATGTCAACAATTGTTTGCTGACTGATCAAACCAATCTGCAGTAACCTAAACCCAAAATAGCTGGGTTTCACGGAGATTTAATACCTGGCATTAATTTTTTAAAATCTATAAAAACTTTCTCCATCTTATCTTCCATCTTTAGATCAACAGTTTGAGTTTCAGTCGTACTGTTTATCTCCGGTTGGATACTACGTTGAGGGGTTGGCTTCCATGTTCTTGATGGAGAAACTTTAAACTCCGTCTTGAAACTCCATTCCTATTACAATTGGATAGAAAAAACGGTTTTATACATTTTTTTATTAAATGTTAATTTATATACCTTTGCATCGGTGTACAGCAGCCCAATTAGCAGTAAACACCAATTCATACCTTTATCAAAAAGATTTAATCTATGACAGGAATATTAGGGAATAGGGATCAGAAGTATTAAAGGAACAGTCTCACAAACGGACAGTTGCAATTTTAAAAGAAACAAATTCAAATCATGTCTTTCACACGAAGAAATAAGAGAAGAACTAAGGAGAGTTGAATGTGGTTAGGAAAGAGCCGTTGCAGAGAAAAAGCCTCAGTTATCAATAAAAAAAAGTCTAAGACGCTCTTCTTTGGAAACGAAAAAAAAACAAAAAAATACATTTCTGATTTATGGTGTGCGAGGCCAATTTATATCCTTACTCGATTTTTACAATCAAGGAGAGGTTTAACTCCAGATTTTACCGAAATTTTTTAATTTATTTATCAAAATCCACGATTTACAATTCCTTTAAATAATTAAAGCCACAAAGAGCGTTTCATAGACAGGACATTTCATAGATAGGACGTTCCATAGAACGGACATTTCAGATATAGCAAGGGTGTAATGCAAGTACAGAAGATGTGTACACTTCTGAAATAACTTTCCTTGCATTACATCCTTTATATATAAGACATTACATTGACCAAACATTTTATAGACAGGACGTTATCAATAAGGAAAATCTTAATAAAAGTAATCTTATTAACAAATCATGATCAGTTATTTCTACGATTCAGACGATTTTTCTTCACATACAGGGTGAGTCAAAAAAAGTGCGATTTGCGGCGCCTGGTGAAAAAGTGGTTCTTTTTTGTGCAACTCTCCTGTAGGGTATTTTTTAATTTTTTTTTGAAAATTTGTAATTTTTTTTGGACATATTAGGACGTTGGGACAATTCATAGACAAACATTTCATAGCCAGACATTTCATGGACAGAGATTTTATGGACAGACATTTCATGGATAGATATTACATGGACGGACATTTTATAAACAGACATTTCAAAGACAGACATTTCACAGACAGACATTTCATAGACTACCATAGACAGAGTTGAAATTTGAGAGATAAATTAGGGCGTAGGGACATTTCACAGACATGGACAGACATTTCATAGACACACTTCACAGACAGACAGTTCATAGACACATTTCACAGAGTTCATAGACATTTCATAGACAGCCATAAAGCAATAAATTTCCAATGTGAAGAAGGCTTTATTTGGTTTCACATGTTTTGCAATGTGTGTATAACAAGTAACAAGATATCAGCAAGAATTTTAATAAATAAATTATTAGTTTAAAGCAAAATTATAAATAATACAGGGTGAGTCAAAAAAAGTGTGATTTGTGGCGCCTGTTGCAAAATTGTGCAACTCTCCTGTATGGTGTTTTTCAATATTTTTTGAAAATTAAAATTTTTTTTTGGTACTTCAATGGCCAAAAAGAAAATTCGCAAATTTTTTTTCTCTCAAAATCAAAAGTTCAGAAAAGCAAAAATGTGTACTGTATTCATATTATTTCTCTCTAAATCTAAAATTTTATTAGGATTGAATCACAGAATCGCAGGAAATTGGCAAAATTGTAATAAGAAAATTTGCAAGTTTCAGTTCTGGTCTAATTTTCAAGGAAAAGTTATTTAAATTTGTTAAGTTCCTTTCTTCCTAGTATATTCTAAAGTATTCTAAAGTTGAAACCTTAAAAACCATTGAAAAATAATTATTCCGTAAGAATTATACCAGAACTGAAAAATTGCGAATTTTCAAATTACAATTTTGCAAATTTTCTAAGATTCTGTGATTCAACCTTTTTAAAATTATAGATTTCGATAGAAACAATTTATTTACACATTTTTGTTTTCTGAACTTTTGATTTTGAGAGAAAAAAAGGTTCGCGGATTTTTTATGAAGTGTCTGTCGATGAAATGTCTCTTAATGAAATGTCTATAAAATGTCTGTCTACGAAATTTCCTAGCGCCCTAAATTGTATCTGAAATTTCAACTCTTGTCTAAGAAAATGTCCTCTCTATGATTTATTACCTACAAACTGTCCAAGTATGAAAATTCTTGAAATTAAAATGTCCTAGCACCGACGAAAAGTATTGAAACAGATCAATAAATAGTTAAAAGGCACATTGGAATAAAAATCTAAGAAAATATGTATATCTATTACAAATTTGATTAATATCTAATGCAGTTCTCTAAAAAGAGAGAAGAGAGAGAAATAAAGAGAATTAAAAAACGACGCCACGTTATCTTCCACGATTTAAGCGTGCCGTGGTGTGTTGGGCATAACGCTTAAAACACTCCCTATAATTTACGTTTTCAAACGCAAATTTAAAACACAAACTACAGTCGTGCCAAAGATATAAAAATTTCTACCGTGAGTAAGTACACTTAATAGTTGAAAAATATCTTATTCCTTATCATTGAAACGTTTTACAAAAGATGTCTTTGCAGATTTTTGTCCAAATTTTTCTAACCAACTTTCCCCTACATTTATATTTACTTTCAAACAATTAAATGCAAAAACACGTATTTGTATATACAAAAAGTACAGGTAAAGTTTTTAACTAACCTTGGAAACGTTTAATATTCTCACTTTCAAAATTATATATTAAAACCCTTTATACGCGAGTAGTGCTGTACGTTAGACAAACTTTCCGCTACTGGTGATCCTGTTTACAGAACAAACCAGTTTTGCAGTACGCTTTAGGTAAGAATGTTAAAGGTACGTAACAGTACACTGTACAATTGAACGCACTTAACATAGATATAGACCAATTTCTTAGACCTTCTACCATAGGTAGAATCATAGTCACACTATGGTTATGCTTTACCAGAGCAGTACGTGTAGATAGATAGATATGGTAACATGAATAAGAAATTGGCCTTTATAATCAATGTGTGTAGAAATAAGGGAGGGGGGATAAGGATATGGGTTTCCAATACAGAGTGTCCTGATTAACATAGGAATTGAGTGCCGAATTCAAAATCGTCTTTTTAAATGATTATTGATTTAGTAATATATAATATCAAGTAACTGTAGTTTAAGAAAGTGTAGGGAGGGGTTAAATAAGAAATACTGAGGTTGAAAATAACTGCCGAGAAAAGTCTAATGATTATTTAATTTCTGACTCATTATACTAAATCCATCTTAAAATCACTCATTAACCAACTTTGTGATATTTGAAGATGCAATACTCAGTCAAATTTGTCAATTTGAAGGTCGTCTTTCAATCTTTAGAATTTGTAATATCTCCGTTAATATTGAAAGCACAAAAAAGGCAGACCACACATTGTGCTATAGGTATTTTGTATTATTGCTTGAATCTAGCATAAAAAAGTAGATTGACAAATTTGTCAAAATTTTCAAAGATCTTAGACGACCTTTAAGTCGTCGCTTTACTATCATGTTTCGTGGGACACCCTGTGTGTCAACAAAGTTTTTAACAATTAAAACAGAAGATTTAATTTTATTGCACAATTTTAATTCAATAAGTTTCCAAAAAACATTATGATATTAATTGACAAATAATATAATTCCAAAAATAGTTTAATAAGATTTAATTCTTTAAAATTAAACAGAGTTAAAAGCAATGATAATCTAGGTTTAAAGTTATTTTATAAGCTTTTATTACTGAAAAATATTTACAAATGTTTTAAATAAACCTTATAATGATTTTAAGATAATAATTACAGTTATTAAAAAAACTTTAATGATTTAAGGATAATGTTTACAATTGTTAAATAAACTTAAACAATTTAAAGATAATGTTTACAATTGTTATATAAACTTTAATTAATTATAGATAATGTTTACAATTGTTAAATGAACTTAAATAATTTAAAGACAATATTTACATTTGTTAAATAATCTATAATAATTTAATGACAATTTTTACAACTGTTAAATAAACCTAAATATGAATAATTTAAAGATTATATTTACATTTGTTAAATAATCTTTAATAATTTAATGACAATTTTTACAATTGTTATATAAACTTTAATTAATTATAGATAATGTTTACAATTGTTTAATAAACATTAATGAATTAAAGACATTTTTAACAATTTTTAAAAAAACATTTATGTTTTAAAGATAATATTTACAATTGTTAAATAATCTTTAATAATTTAATGACAATTTTTACAACTGTTACATAATGTTTACAATTGTTTAATAAACATTAATAAATACAAAGATAATGTTTACAATTGTTTAAAAAGCATTAATGAATTAAAGATAATGTTAATAAACATTAATGAATACATAGATAATAATTACAATAATTAAATAAACCAAATTATTTTAATTTAATATTTACAATTGTAAAATGAACTTATTAATGAATTAAAGATAATGTTAATAAACATTAATGAATGCATAGATAATGTTTACAATAGTTAAATAAACATTAGTTATTTTAAGTTAATATTTACAATTGTTAAATGATCTTAAATTATATTCTTTTTAATTATCTATTTTTTACGATTTTTTCCTTATTGACGCAATAGATAGAAGTGAAATTGATTGCGATCAAAAACGAATTAAATTCTTTATCAGCCATTACCCCCTTTCATTTTTCGCGAAGACTTCCTTTAAGAAATGAATTTTTAAATTTGAACAAAATAAATTTAAAGATGGTATGTGCAATTTTTAATTAAAGCTAATCTAAAAAAAATTTTATATTTTAGAAAGGGGGAAGTTACAAAAGTTCCGCTTAAATAATATTTTTATAGAAAACAAACTTTCGATTTCTCATTCATTATCTAAGAATGCTATTTCAAAAAACCAGCGTGTTGTTGTTTTCAATAAAAAGGATACTACTTAAAATATATCTTGTAAAATAATATTATTCAACCTAAAATCTGAATTGTGCGGTCTCATTATCAAACCAATTTTCTCCAAAATCATTAAAAAATTCTGAATTTTGAAAATTCTCAATAAAATAGAAAAATCAGCCAAATATTTAAATTTTCCTATTCGAAAAATCTACAGAAAAGAAAGAGAAAAACTCAACAAAATAAAGTTTATATCAATGCTGGAGAGCAGTGCGAAGCGCCCTGGGAGCTCAGTGGTTGGTAAAGGGATAAACTGATAAGAATTCAGAGAAAGACTTTATTGAGACTTTTCCCTTACATCCATCCATGGTTCCCTGCGCGCCAGTTAAAACCTAGCTTAACCTAGCTTAACCATTAAAGACTTTATATATTGAAGGCAGAATAGAAAGTGTAACATTTAGATCGAGTTATAGGTCTTCATTTAAATCTCACCCTTTGTGGGTGTCCCCTTATATACAGTGATAACCAATATACACGATACAGTGAAGTATTTGGTTATGGAATACTCCTTGGTTTGGTATCTTCGCTTCTTACAAAGAATTAAAAACTAACTGGGAAAATGCAATTTATTACCTCTCTAAAAATGATATATACGTTTTTACTTTTTAAAAAAACCAACCTAAGATTATTCCTGTCATTCAACCGAGTTCCCCAATCAAATTTTAAGGCAAATCGACCAGGGGTTCATGAGTTAGGATCGGACATTCAAACAGACAAACAGAACAAACAGAGATTTATAATATTTAAAAAGTGAAAAATGTTGATAACAGAAAAAAAAATTAAAAAATTAAGGGTTAAAAACGACTATATCTTCCTCAATGTTTCTCAGATAAAGATGTAAAGGTTGAGTTGTGAATCGGACTAATGTTTGAAGTGACGACGATTGTCCTTTTAACAGCATAATTTGTACTCTCTGTGGTTGTACTTTAGTAAACAATAAAAATTCATATTTTGGACTGATTCAATTTTGATGATATATACATTGAGTAAAGCTGGGACAATGATCGAGAAGTCAATATTTCGAGACGTCACTAAACTGAGTGATGATGTTATCAAGAAGTTGCTGTTGTCGAGAAGTTGCTGTTGTCGAGAAGTTGCTGTTGTCGAGAAGTTAATGTTGTCTAGAAGATAATGTTGTCGAGAAGATAATGTTGTCGAGAAGTGTAGATCTCGAGAAAAGAATTGATGTTGTAGTTATAATCGCTCCGCATAGGAGAGAGAAAAAGACTGACTGGACAAAATATCAGAAAGCCCTTCAATCTCTCCTTGTTTTACGATCTTTAATCTTCTTTATAATCCTTGATTCCATTCTCTCATCACTTATTCTGTTGCATCATCCTTGTTTGTGATGCATCAATTATTACAAAGCATTGATCAATAGAATACATTATTTACTTGATGCAATTATTAATATAATGCATGCATCAATATGTTTCATGTACTTAAATATAATGCATGTATCACTATGTTACATGTATCACTATGTATATAATGTATATACCTGAATGTGATGCATGTATCATTATGTTACTTGTAGAAATATAATGTATATACCTATATATGATGCATGTATCACTATATTACCTGTAGAAATATAATGTATACACCTATATATGATGCATGTATCACTATGTTACCTGTAGAAATATAATGTATACACCTAAATATGATGCATGTATCACTATTTACGTTACATGTAGAAATATAATGTATATACCTAAATATGATGCATGTATCATTATGTTACATGTAGAAATATAATGTATATACCTGAATTTGATGCATGTATCTTTGTGTTACTTGTAGAAATATATTATACAGATGTAAAGATTAAAATCTTGAAGGAATAAAAAATTACTTTAATTAAAATATGAAGAAAAAAGATCATTTAGATCATAATCACAAATTCAAGCATATTCATAAAACACATGTTTAAAAAAATTGTTGGTGTACATTTTATCTTATTTTTTAATTACATTGCAAAAGCATTATAAATATAAGAGTTAAATAAAGAATATTAAAGAAAGACGACATATTTTGAAAATTATTTTAAATCAAAAAATGGTGTACGTGTTTAAAAATGATTTTTTAAAACGAACAAGTTGTTAACCGACCAAAAAACTTCACAATCTTTGATATACAATTTTGATGCATTTTAAAGATGTTGTTACTCAAACAAACAAAAAATAATTGCTCTTTTTCAAATGAAAGACTAAAAATTTTAACTTTAAAAAACTTTATAATTTTAGATAAGAATTGTTTTTCTTCCGAAAATTAAATTTTCAAAGTAACTATAATAACTACTTCAAGAGAAAGAATCCTTACAAAAAATTATAACATACACGATTTAAAAAACAAAACAAATTACATATAATAAAAATATGATTTTAAAAGTACTGTTTGATATTAAAATAATGAATGTTGCAAACTATTGAAACACATTTTTGCAATGAAAGGAAAAACTTGAATTTGCTGCAGGAAATGTTTGAAATGCATTCCTGCCAGCCCCCCTCACCCAACTGTTTAACGACTTTGTTTGAAAATTCGCAATTTTCAACGGTTTTTGCGCGCCTAAATTTGCACATAACTGAAGCCCGGTGGACTTTTACAAAAAATGGCGTCTCTCACTCTCGTAATGGAATCCTGTTAAAACAGCTTATCTTCCTTCAACAATGCATCTACCTTCAAACCGTGCAAAATATATATTTGACTAATGGCAAACTCCGTCAGTTTGCACGAATCAATATTGCAGTGTGCAGAAACAGCTGTGGAAGTTGACGTCAAGGGAGGTGGGCCACAGTGGGTTTAATAGTAAAACAGAAAGGTATATAAAGAGGAAGAAAAAAG